TGTAGAATAAACAGTTTTTGTAACCAATAGAAAGAGAGTGACAAAATACTATTTTATATTCAAATCATCTCGTTTGGTATTAAATAATCGATTTTCGTCTTCTAAAGTACCTAAACATGTGCGACTTGAAATTGCTAGAGAATACTGAGTGTCGGGGGTGATTAAGTTCCCTTTTTATTCGAGTGCAGCCACTCCTCGTACGAACTGCACACTTTCGCGTAACACTTGTAATTCCGTGCGCTTCCGTGCCGCGTCGTTCCGATCGAGTTCGATGAATCGGGCGTCGTTGCAATTTTTTCCACTTCTTTTTTTCCTGCTACTTCTTCACCCCAACGACGTACCTCGCGTTGCCTCTCCCGTTGGGCCCGTTGTGGGAAACACGTAATGAGATTTGCATGCATGCGTGATGCGGAAAAACGAGGTCCGAGAGTTAAATTGAGATAACGGGCCGCTCTGGCGTCCGCCGAAGCGTCGCTTTACATAAATATCGCGTCAGTGGCGTCCGATCTAAATCTTTCGGAAAATCGAGCGAACGGTTTTTCAGCTCGATACGATCGTGCAAGATTAATGGTATTTCGTGTTTCCGGTAGTCTCCGTGGACACCTTGCAACAGCCGTTTTTCAGATGTACGGGTCTCTGAAGTAATCTTAAACCGTATACAGTGAGTGCACAATGATATCGTAGCGGTGTGATAAACGATCCAGAAAAACTTTTTAAACTTTAAACCATCTGGTCTGGAATGTCACTTATGCTTAAAAAAGGAGGTTTTACAAAAAGGAAAAGAACGGGCTTTGAACAACTTCCATGAGATATGCTCATGGCGTTCGCTTAATGTTGTCCCATAATTTTTAACGAGCACCACGAAATAAAACGGGCCTATTTTAAACAATTCCAACACACGACCTGCGGGGAGGGAATAACGCAATCTGCGCTCGTTAAATACGCTCCGACATTTCGAGCCGAAATAGGCACGGTTTTTTTTTTTTCGTTATTTTGTAGTCGCCGAATGCCGCACGTTGTATTCGTTCTATGGTATTCTGCAAGTTGCGCAACGCGAATTCCGATTCAAGTTCGTATTAAAAAGTTTCCGGGCATCGTAATGGCGTTATCTTCGCATCGTTCGTTCTGCTTTCTCTTTTCACCAATGTGTTCATCGATGCTGGAATGAGGATGTTCTAGTAACAATCTAACATTAGAAAAAATGTAATAAAAGGAAAAAATTCAAATGACATTAAAGTTCGATTTCGGGTTTTTATTCAAAAGTAATTTTCCGTCGATGCTGAAAAATGGCTAGCGTCGACTTACTGTCACTCGAGTTTCCAATTTTACGGGGTCTCGAACACGTATTGGAAATTTTTCCCATATACACGAAACTTTCTCGTGCAATCTCCAGCTTTTAAGAAAATAGAATGACTTATAAACAGAATCAACGCGCTTGAATGCTATTTTCTAGTTTTAAAAATATTAGAGTAAAACCTAAATAAAACCATTTTTAAGTCATACTATTAATATTATCTATTTAATACATCAGCATATTTAAATATAAATGTTAAGTAGAATCCAACTCGGGTTATTCTCCAAGTTGTTCTATTCCATGTTCATAGATAAACTAAATAGCCGTGCGTCTGAAGATACACGGCTAAACTCAAAACTTTTACTTAAACTTTTAGCATCTTTTGAGATATGAGTCATCAAAATATCTTCATTCCCTCAATAGTTATCAGAGAGTTGCGTCAACCTTATTCAGACAATTATAACCTTTGGTTAGAAGAAAATGGTGAAAGTTTGGAAATCCCAATGGAAACGTACCATATTGGAATCGAATTGCTATTATTTAGGCTTTCTTTTGAGATATGATTCATTAAGATATCTCATTTTGATCAGAACTTAATGAAAAAAAGGCTTGTATTGCTATGTTGAATGGTTCAAGCAATGCTAAGTAATCGAATCTAAAAGATTCTAGATACTGAAACTTAATTTACTCTATAATGATGAAATTCTGATTAAGTAGGATTTTCTTTTAAGATATCAGTCATCAAAATATATTTTGATTCACTCATTAGTTATCAAAGAAATGCGCATTTCTCAATTTAACAATTATGACTGGTTGTTAGGTTAGAACAAGATTTTGAATCTCAATTGGGTCGTATCATAGCGGAATAAAGTGGTTATTATTTGGGCTTTCTTTTGAGATATAATCCATTAAAATATCTCAATTCACTAAGAAGATATACAAGAGAAGGTTTGCATCTTTATTTTGTAGATTTCAAGCTATGCTAAATAAGCAAATCCTAAAAATTCTAGATACTGAAACGGGATATTCTGTAAGATTCTTAACTTTTGATTAATTGGGCTTTCTTTTGAGATATCAGTCATAAAAATTTCTCAACTAACACAGAAGTTATCCAAAAAGTGATTTACATCTCTATTTTATGGATTTTAACCTATGCTAACTAACTAAATCCTAAAAATTCTAGATACGGAAACGGGATTTTCTATATGATTCTGAAATTTTGATTAATTCGGCTTTCTTTTGAGATATCAGTCATCAAAATATCCCAATTAACACAGAAGTTATCTAAAGATGATTTACATCTCCCATTTTGTAGATTTCAAGCTATGCTAAGTAAGCGAATACTAAAAATTATAGATACTAAAACGGGATATTCTGTAAGATTCTTAAATTTTGATTAATTCGGCTTTCTTTTGAGATATCAGTCATAAAAATATCTCAACTAACACAGAAGTTATCCAAAAAGTGATTTACATCTCTATTTTGTGGATTTAAGCTATGCTAAGTAACCAAATCCTAAAAATTCTAGATACGGAAACCGATTTTTCTGAGTGATAACGAATATCTAATTAATTGGGCTTTCTTTTGAGATATCTGTCATCAAAATATCTCAATTCATTTAGAAAATACCCAAAAGATAATTTGCAGCTCTATTTTGTACATTTCAAACTACTTTAAATAACCAAATCCTAAAAGTTTCATATACTGAAACGGATCTTTCTGTTTTAGTTGTTATTTAGCATTAGATTGTTGTATATTTTTGTTGAACTAAAAGTAGATCTAACTAATAAAGAGCGCAACGGTGTGAATAGTTTAATGTACAAATTAAAATCCCTTCTTCGTATTAATCCGTTATATTGAGATTTTACTGTAATATTAAAACCACAACCTTTGTACTTTCTCCTATAAAACGAGAAGAGAATGATTTTCCAATATAAAAGTAAAAATTAAAAATTATTAATACCATAATGTAGTACACAAAAACAATTACGTTAAACAAAATAACATGGTAAAATGCAAAGCAATTAAGGTCGTTTTTCTGGTCGTAAAAGCCGAAATTAAATGGCGTTTTTTAACAAAGCACTTGAAATACGCGAATCCATTGCGCGCATCGCTGCTTTGGCATTCATTTATTTTGGAATTTCAGCAATTTTAATTTTCTCCTAAAATATCATTACAGTTTTAACGCTACGTTAGTTTTCAATTCGTAAATTTTAATTTTTTCATTAACCACTAACGCAATTTATATTTCCATTAATGATTATCAAAGTGTCTCATCGTTTATATCACATTGATTTATTTAATTTTGATTTTAAAATGATTATGTTAAATCTTTTAATAACACCATTTAACTTTTTAATGATAGATAATTGTATAATATGTATAAGTCGTTAATAGTATGTTAGAACATAGCTTTTAGTACGATGAATTTGGATTAAATTTGCTTTAAAATACTTTTTATTTTATCACGATATCTCGATTCAATCTTTAGATACACACCTTTAAAGTTTAACACCTTTTAAAATTATCAATTTCACGCAAAGATAGTCTCAAAAAACCGTGTCAATAAGATTTCTTGGAATTAGAAAATAACTTTTGGTAAGCTGAAACTGGATAAAATTTGCATTAAAACGCCTTTCATTTCATCGCCATATCCCGATTCATTCCTGAGATACAAACATTTTAAGTTTAGCAATTTATTCTCTTAAAGCATTCTTTTCAAAAAATTATGACATCAACATTTCTTGGATTTAAATGACTTTTGGCACAATGAATCTATATTAAATTTGCTTTAAAATGATTTATCTTTCATGATGATATCTTGATTAGGTCTTAAGATATAAACCGTTAAAATTTAATCAACATCTAAAATCATCAATATTATGCAAAAATTAATTCAAAAAATTGTGACATCAAGATTTCTTTAAATTAGAAAATAACTTTTGGTACAATAAATGTGTATTAAATTTGCTTTAAAATGATTTTTATCTCGTTGTTATATGTTGATTTGTTCTTGAGATATTAATTTTTAAACTTTCACAATTTGTGTTTTCAAATTATTTATTTTACGCAATGGTAAACTCAAAATATCGTCACATCAAGATTTGTTGTAACATAGAAATGTATTTCCGTATATTAACTCTGGAATAAATTTGCGTCAAAATGATAACCATTTCATCACCATATCTTGATTAGTTCTTGAGATACAAACCATTAAAATTTGACAAAATCTCAAAAATTGTCGATATTAGGTAAAGATGAATTCAAATCATTGTGACATCAAGATTTCTTAGAATTAGACAACAACTTTTGGCACAATGAATCTGTATTAAATTTGCTTTAAAATGCTTTTTATTTCGTTGTGATATGTTGATTTGTTCTTGAGATACAAGTTTTTAAAGTTTGGTAATTTAAGCTTGCATCAAATCGAGCCATTAATAATGAATTAAAGAATATAACCATATATATGAAACTACCAAAGGATATAAAAAAAAGTATTTTCTACATTTTCGCGATGAAAAACGGGCATAAATTGAAAGGAAGCTTTAGCAATACTACCACATTTGATAGTGCATTAATACGGTCCAGTAATTTCTCCCTTTTCAACTTGTTTAAAATCCATAAAAGTCATTTAAAGTTATTAAAAACGTGGATATTAAAATGAACGAATGTTTAAATTAATTTTTTTTATTTCTATTTGTTTTAGAATATCCTGGATAAATTTAATCCGGGAGCACGACAGATGATCAACGCTGGAAAAGCCTATTTGAAAGCTCTACATGGTGAGTTTGAAATCGTTAAAATCGCGCCACTTACGCCTTTTATTTCGCACGCTGGCAGCTCGTAAGCCGACCCTTTAGTGTTTTTATTGTATTTTTAAGCGGGGCGAAGTTTTCAGCCCCTAAAACTTTAATATCCCCGGAAAACGCGCGGGATTATGGGCGAGTTTCGACATAGTTTTAACTCGCGCGGAATTTTCCTAATAATATGGGAGAGGACGTAAAATTTACGACTTTTCATGGCGAAGGTATTTTGCAGGTGGGTAGTGAAATAGTTTGCAAAGTTTGTTCGGGAATCACCCCTCCCTTATTACATCTAACTTATTCAAGCTTAGAACGGTTCGACCGATAATATTATTTTTACGAGAAGATACATTAAGTTTCAAATTCACGTTAACTTAAAGCGGGTTTAATATTGAATTTCTAGGAAGCATTCAAAGGTGGCAAAGAATACCTAATTGTGTTCTGATCCATCATAATTGCAGCTAACGGCTCTTCGTCACGCGTCAGTCGCTAGAAGTAACGATTTCCGTTTTGTGCCAAAACTGCACCGTGACGTTTTATAACGAACTCATTTATAAGTCGGCACTTTTTTGTTCATTCTTCTGTCAACCGTTTACTTCGATAACAAACGATGAAATTGAACCACCACCGAGAGATGATTTATGGATGTAACTCAATCTTGCTTCAACTTATTGTAGCAATTAAAGTTTGGACGAACTAATTCTATCAAAACGTCCCTGGGTTTCTACGATTAAATTTTTGGTACGACGAGATTTCCGTTCCAAAGGTTATTATGAAAGCGCTAGGGATAGCAAAAATCGCCAGTAACTTTGCGGGAATCTGATAGCAACTTTCGCTCGGGAGACGCTCATTAGAATCACCCTTTAAAAGGAAAGTTACTGCCTGTAGGTCCTGTTAGTTTGGCTTTGTCTACGAACTTCCACTTTTCCTAGATAATCCTTTGGAATCCCGGCGCCTTCACCACAATTTCGAGATATCCCGGCACCTCCACCAAAATTCTTTTTTCTTTCTTTATTCATTTTTAATTAAGTATATATATAAATCTAATTCAAGCGTTAAGATCAGCTTTAATTTTTCGAAATTATTCTCAAAGAAAATTTTAAATTTAAAATTTTCCTCCGCATATTTCCGATTAGAAGTGGAAAAACGGGTTATGTATGCGTCTCGCTTTGTATGCAGAGTTGGACACTTTTAACTTTTCCATACATTTGCATTTTTTGTCGGTTAAATTCGACTGGAATATTATTTAAAATAAACGAAAAAAAACATAATATTTTTTTCGAGGGAATTCTTAATTTTGCCTATGATAACGAGTAGTTTTACCAAATCCAATTCCTACGCGACAGTGTATTTTATACGTGAACACATAAACCCCCTCGGTGTACTGTAAAATATGTAGCGTGTTAAACTGGAACTCGTACGTTGTAGCGACATTGTCGTAAAGCGGTAGACCCCTGAAATTTACTCGTGGGGGTAAGCCGTGCCTAAATATGTCCCTGACTCGAACAACGGCTGTCCCTTGTTTAGTTTTCATTCGAAACCTCGAGGAGTTTCAAATGATCTACGACGAACGAAAGTGTAAAAATGTCGTTGGTAACCGTTGTAAATGTTTATCCTACCATCTCCTTTATTTTTCAAGACGCACAAAAAAATTTGCTACATAAATATAAAATACAAAAACATTTTCGGTTTTATCACGTCCATTTTAATTAAAGAATCGATTTTTAGAAATTAACCAACCTAACGGTATTTTTGAACTTGGTCCTTGTTTACAATTCCAATTATATTCGAAAAGTCAATTAGGCAAATTAGGTTATCGCGCCGAACTGGACGTAAGGCAATTAATTAAACTCAAAAATTGGTTAATCCTAATTTGCGTTTCATTTGATTTTTAATTTTTTATACGATAAATTCATTTTGACAACTTAATTTTCGTTTATAAATTGTAAATATGTAATTAATTTGGTGTTGAATCTATTTATTAGTTTAATTTTAATAGAATCATGTAAGAATCCATTTTTTATTTCCAATAGTCATTAACCCAATAATGTCTTGTATCTAATGAATTAAATCTTTAACGATTAAAAGAACTAAAAACGAATAGAACGATAGAAGATTAGCGGTTTTTATGGGAGGAAGGGATTTCTCCAAGAGATACGACGATTATGTCCAAAGTTTTTGTGAACGGCTCGAGTTCTGTACTTATTTACTGGAGAAGTAGTTGATAGCTTTCTAATTATTTATAACGATATCAAGCTGTCATAAGTGGATGTATTTAAAAAATCAAAACATCTAAACTTATAGGAATAAAGATATGATTTTTATCACGTTGAATTTTAATTAAATTTGCTTTAAAATGGTTTTTATCTCATGTTGATATCATAATTCATTCTTGAGATACGAGGTTGTAAACATTTAATGAAAAAGTCATGTCACCTGGGTTTATAGGAACGAAAGTAAATTATTACAAAAATTTGCTATAAAACTGTCTTTTAATCAACTTGATACCTCAAGTATTGTTTGAGATACGATTTTGTAAAGTATGTTGTTTATAAAATGAATTTGTCATAAGTTGATGTGTATTAAAAAATCTTAACATCAAAATTTATAATAATGAAGAAATTACTTTCAACTAATTGAATATTTATTAAATTAGCTTTAAAATGATTTTTAACTTATGGTGATATAATAATTTGTTCTTGAGATATGTGGTTGTAAACCGCATTTTGATCAACTCAACCTCAATGACTACAACGTTTAATTAAAAAGTCATATCACATGGATTTGTAAGGACGAAAGAAATATTTTTGGTGTGTTAAAACTGAATTAAATTTGCTATAAAACGGTTTTTAAGTCATCTTGATATCTCAATTACTGTTTGAGATATGATTATCTAAAGTTAGTTGTTTATAAACTAAACTTGTCATAAGTGGATATGCAGAGGTGTATTAAAAAAATCTTAACTTCGAAATTTGTAATAATGAAGGAATAACTTTCAACTCATTAAATATTAATTAAATCTGCGTTAAAATGATTTTTATCTCATGTTGATATCATATTTCGTTCTTGAGATATAAGGTTGTAAACCGCATTTTGATCAACTTAACCTCATTGACTACAATGTTTAATTAAAAAGTCATATCACTTGGATTTGTAAGGACGAAAGAAATATTTTTGGTGTGGAAAAACTGAATTAAATTTGCTATAAAATGGTTTTTAAATCATCGTGATATCTCAATTTCTGCTTGAGATATGATTCTCTAAAGTTAGTTGTTTATAAACTGAACTTGTCATTAGTGGATATGCAGAGGTCTATTAAATTAATCATAACATCGAAATTTGTAATAATGAAGAATTGTCTTTCAACTCACTAAATATTTATTAAATTAGCTTTAAAATGATCTTTATCTCATGCTGATATCATAATTCGTTCTTGAGATATGAGGTTATAAACCGCATTTTGATCAACTTAACCTCAATGACTACAATTTTTAATTAAAAGCTCATATCACTTGGATTTGTAAGGGCGAAATAAATATTTTTGTTGCGCTAAAACTAAATTAAATATGCTATAAAACGGTTTTTAAATCATCATGATATCTCAATTACTGTTTGAGATATGATTCTCTAAAGTTAGTTGTTTATAAACTGAAGTTGTCATAAGTGGATATGCAGAGGTCTATTAAATTAATCATAACATCGAAATGTGTAATAATGAAGAAATGACTTTTGGCTCATTAAATATTTATTAAATTAGCTTTAAAATGATTTTTATCTCATGTTGATATCATAATTCGTTCTTGAGATATGAGGTTGTAAACCGCATTTTGATCAACTTAACCTCAATGACTACAATATTTAATTAAAGTCATATCAGTTGGATTTGTAAAGACGAAATAAATATTTTTGGTGTGTTAAAACTTAATTAAATTTGCTATAAAATGGTTTTTAAATCATCGTGATATCTCAATTACTGTTAGAGATATGATTCTCTAAAGTTAGTTGTTTATAAACTGAAGTTGTCATAAGTGGATATGCAGAGGTGTATACAAAACATCTTAACATCGAAATTTGTGATAATGAAGAAATCACTTTCAACTCACTAAATATTTATTAAATTAGCTTTAAAATGATTTTTATCTCATGTTGATTTCATAATTCGTTCTTGAGATATGAGGTTGTAAACTGCATTTTGATCAAATTAACCCAATAACCAAAATGTTTAATTAAAAAGTCATATCATCTTGATTTATAGAAACGAAACAAATATCTTTGAGGTGCTAAAACTAAATTAAATTTGCTATAAAACGGTGTTTAAATCATCTTGATATCTCAACTACCGTTTGAGATATCGCTAAAGCACTACATTGATCGCGTCTTATCTTTAAAACACAAAATTGTAACACCTCGGCGGCAAACGATTTTGCTTACATCCTTTCCAACCAGCAAAAATATGTCTTCGCTTCCTTAATATAGTAGTTATTTGTATGACGAGGTTGCGATGTTTATCTTTAATGGTTTCAACTATAGCGCCTCTGGAGCTAGCGATTTTGGCTATAAACTTCCAGGACTAGATTCTTCGCTGTCTTAGTATACAAATAAATCCGTGATGTTTGAATGGAAATGGTTGTTTGTGTGATAAAATCTGTTTTATATTCACCCGCTGAGATAATAAAGCTTAAGTTATAAAAATTTCTATTCAAATTTGTGAGTTAAATTATATAACAAAACCTAAGAGGATTACGATGGAGACGCAAATCAGACGAGATTGGAGGAAGTAATATTAGCGTCTCTAATTCACTTTGAGTCTCAAGATACTGGGCACTTTACGGTTCGAACAAGATCCCTAACGGACCTCAATACATCAATCACGGCCGATAAATTTCGCACCTATTGTGCTGGAGAACGGATCCCCGGCATAAATTTAAATCCACTTTGGCCGGGCAATTTCTTTGTGTAAATTCTAAGCAGAGCTTCCC